ATGGTGTAGCTGTAACAGGGAAGGAGTGCGAGATGCCTCCTCAGGGGTTCCCTGCTTCCCTTGGATGCCATGGAGAAGGCAAGAATTACTCCTTATCTGATGGGAGAAGGATCTGCAAAAGGGAAACTTGAAGGGGCCACGACATAAGGGCTAAATTTAAAAAAGAATGATAAACATATTTTATTTGTTTTCCATGTGTAATGGATCTTCTAAATATCATGCTCTTCTGCTTGCCTATATCCTTGAACTCACAAACTAAGGGGTTCAGATGTTAATCTTTGTCTGGCAACAAGCATAATTTCTGCCTGCAGGTACAACTTGCATATTGGTGACACATGTTGATTTTGCCACAGCTGAAAAAGTAATGAAGGGGGGGAGGAGGGACTGTTCTGTTATGGTCCCTGATGGCTATGGAGGGAAAAGGTGGTTTCCGGATATTCCATCCACATCTGAGCAAGCTTGTGTTATCCTGACTGTGGCAATGGCAAATAATAACAGTTAGAGTCATTAAAGTTTGCAGCTACTTAATGCAAATTAAATTATGGCCCTTCTGTGTCCTTTTTTGAAATGAAGAAATAGAAAATAAGTTCAATTGCATTGTTCTTGTCTGTGTGACAGAATAATGTGGCATTGGTGAATCAGACTTTGTGTACCACATGGAAGAAAGACATTGAAACAGTCATGGGTATCTACACAAGATCAATGAGATATCTGAACTAGATCTACAAAGTGTTGAGTGGCACAGCTTTCTTCATAGAAGAAGGGAAATCCATGTGTGGCCCATAAATGGGAAGTAAGTATGAAGACAAATGCCTGGAAGATAAGTGTTATTTGATAAACTACCCATAGGAAAACAACAGCTCAACTAAAAGTGAAAGAATTATAGACAAACATCTGAGTTAAAAAGTAATATCAGGATGGGACATACTCTTCTGGGAAGCAGTGACTTCAAGGGGTTTGGGGGTTGTGATGGGAGTTATCTCACAGTGTAGCACTGCTGTCAAAAGTGCTAATGTAGTTCTGAAATGAGAAAATTGGACCAATTTCAATAGGAGAGAGAACAAATATTTGAGATTGGCATAGCTATCTCTCAAAGGTACTCCAGGAACACCAATAATTGTACTCCAGGAACACCAATAATTGAGTGGAAAGTATGAATAAACTGCAAAAATTATCAAAGGAATAGAAAAGTGTGTCTAAAAAGAGCTCTCAAAGCTTAATCTCTTTAATACCAAAGAGAAACTGTAGAGTGTCTCAGTTCCTGAACATACTTGGCGCTCTTGGAGCAAGGATGGGGTGACGGAAGCGTTTTCAAGCAACATGACAAGGTGTGATGACATGAAGTCACCAGAAGTAGAAACCAGGTCTAAAAAGCTGCTAAGATCTAAACTATTTAGGCTCACTAATGATTGTGCTTTAGAACACCTATCCAAAGGCTATAGGAATTTTCTATTACAGAAACTTAAACTGGATTTTTTTTTCTTCTTTTTAAACTAAGAAATAAAAATTTTAAGCAGAATTGCTGGAAGTTACGTCATTGTCCATGTCATGTGCTAACAAATGATTAAACTTTCAGTTTTATTTATGAATTTACAGGTCTCTGAATGTGTGCCAAGAGTGTGGATGTTCACTTCAAAGAGATTGCTTTAGGGTTGTGGCACTATTGTTTTCCTACCAACTTTTTCTACCTCTCTGCTTATTTATTTCAAAGCATGTTGCTACTTTTTTCTTTAATCTTCAGATTTCTGAAACCTCTTTAAGTCTAGGAAAATAGATCGTATTTACCTTGTGTCAGGCTTTGAGCCAGACCTACTGACGCAACCCATTTTAAAATTTGAGAAATCATACACTGAAACAACAAACTTTGAATGTCACTATGCAAGTGATAGAAAGCTCGGGGTGAATTCTCAACTAATATTTCTTTATATAATATGCAGTAGTTGCAACAAACTTCTTTTTCATGCATTGAAGAAATGCACGAAATCCCCTGAAAAGCAAAGTGTATCACTTTCATCTGACCTGCCCAATGTTGTTTCTCTGCCACTTTATATAAAAAACAGGATAGGTAATTGTTGTGGTTTAAGACATGACAGAGTAGAGCATCTCTCCCTGGCAGAGCATGAGACTGAGGAAGTCCTTGGTCGGAGCAAGCATTACTTAGCAACACTTAAAAACATCGGTGTTACCAGCATTGTTCCCAGGCTGGAAGTCAAAAACACAGCACTGCACCAGCTACTAAGAAGGAGAAAAATGACTGCTACTGCTGAACCCAGAACAGTGATAAGTCTTTGTAGAATCTGCAAGCTTTGGGCTCAGAAAGGTGTTTGTACGATTTCTTTCTAACTCACAGTTTTAATAGATCACAGGAGTGAACTAGATCTGATCCAAGCAGAGCTTTGTTTAACTTCGGTGTATGTTATAACTGGTCGTTGGCTTTGGGCCATTGCAGATAGTTCCCCACAGTGGAATAGGGCACCTTTTTAATTTTTCTTTTAAGCAAATATATTCCTCCCACCGAGAAACATGGGTCTCTGAGGTGTCTGTAAAAGCATACCTGCCACCATAAGCAGCTGGATACTGGACTTGCAGCTGCTCTGAGCACAGCTCCTTATTTCAGGGTTGCTTTACAGCGGCACAGGCAATACCTCAGTTATAGACACGTTGAAAAGTGTCAAATCCACTTAAAAACATACTCTGCAGGAAGAACAGAAACAGGCTTCTATGTGTGCACTAAGTTTAGGCATTTTTGATGGGGATACTTTTACTGACAGGATAAAAACTTAGTATTTTACTAAATGGTTTAAATTATCATGTTGAACAGATTTGAGATGCTTAATTAAATACTATTATTAACACAGTGTCTTCCTAAGCATTTGTATGTGAGAATGCTTGTCAGATTTTTTTCATGGTATGAGCATAAAAATGCAGAGAGAAGCAAATGAAAAAGGTGCAGTGAGAACACTCCTCACTGCTTCATTCTACTGCCTTATAACTCCAACACATTTATTTCTAATTAAATTAAATTTTAATTACCTGACCAAAGAAGAGTGAAGAGAAATAGAGTGATTTGAAAAACAAATTTCATAAGCAAACACGATTGAATAATTCAGTGCAGTTTTCCATTAAATTTGCCGCCCCCCTTTTTTTAAGAAATGTTGTTAAAACTTTCAAAATAAAGGTTATGCAATATTTCTTCTATGTAAATATTTATACCACATGGGTATGCACACTTAGCTAACACGATGTTAACTAGCCTACTAAAGGATTTTAGTGGGTCTTTACTCTGCAAAATACTGGGGGCTAATTCCTGTGTGTAGCTCTATTTATGAGTCAGTTCATATGTAACAGATTAAAGGGAAAACTAAAGATAAGAACCTGTATCGAAGCTGGCAAAATTCCTGTTCAGTTTTCAGTGAATTGACATTTTTCGCTGGTTACCTTTCTTCTCTGTGATCACTTGTATATTTTCACATTTAGAATGCTCATGAAAGCTTTCTGAGCCAGTTCAATGGATTAAAAATAATGATTGTGCAAGCTGGCAGATAAAGAAGTGCAATGTTGGTATTTAGAAAGCCACACAGAGACATCTTCTTTTCAAAAAACCAACAAAACCAACAAACAAAATCCCCCCAAACCAACAACCAACCAAGATCAAACTGCAAAATCTCCCTGTCTGAAAACTAACAACCTCAAAAGACCTTTTCGAGAGAGGCTGTGACTAAAACTGCGCAGAATGCAGAGCAGGGAGACTTCAAACTATCCAAATAAAATGCATGCAACTCTGAAAGGCAGGGGATGACTTTGCAGTCAAATAACACCTCTAAAGAGCCCTTACTGTTGCAATCAGAAGTGTTTCTGATATTAAGAAGATGGTCCACACACTATGAAACAGACAGCAGAGAAACAAAGGCACTTTTAAACACAATTTTTACCGCATAGCTGAATGCCAAAAGAAAAAGAGAGCTGAATAATATATGAGGAGAAAAGAAGTAGGGAAAAATGTAGAAAAAAAAACAACCAGTCAGTAAGAAATGCACTCCTTTAGGAAAACAACAAATGCAATAAAATTAACAATTGTTCATTTTCTAGTAACTGCAATTACTGTGCAATAAATAGAAATGCAGCAGAAATTTTGGAAGAGAAATGCTGGTATTGCCAATGGCCATCATAAATAATCCTTCATATTTTGTTAATTATTAAAAGCAACTGTTGCTTGCTACACTTGCACAGAATTATGGAATATCATGAATACTAGTGGAGGATTACACACTTGGATATGTCCAATTCTGCAGTGCAGAATTAGATTTCTGTGACATGCTATAAAGAGAACTTAAAGGCAAATTAAAAAAAGAATTACAGTCTGAAGCTTGAAGAAAAATATTACCAGTCCCAAAACAAGTAAAATCCAAACCCTTAAAATCTTCAGGAGTTATAAAAGCTGTAAGAAAATAATGATTTTGTTTCAATATTATATAGTAATTGTTTACCTCACTTGGAAACGGTAAAAATAATTCAGCTAACCAACTGAAGCAGTGTAAAAAACACAGCTTAGGAAATGTACTTTGTTAACACTAAAATCATACAATAAAAGAACATATGGAGGTAATAGAACATTTAAAATCATTTCAGAAAGAAGCTTTGACACATGAAAACTAAACTAAAAGGCAAAATTTACAACAAAATCCTGAAAAGCCAAAAACATCAAATAGAATCGAAACAAACAAAAGCATGGGCAATGCTGAAGAAAGCAGTATTTGAAGCTGAACAGAAAATTGGAGTCAGTAAATTCAGGAGAGCATACAGCTAAAATACCAAAGTTAAGAGAGCCTTAAAACTTTACCGTTTCTCAGACTAGTGTGGGATATTTGCAGGAGTAATTTAAGCGCAATGAAGTTAAATATATCCAGTGCCTTGTAGCAGTAAAACACAATCTTTTAAAGTCCTAGCAATAAAGTGGAAGTTAAATGCCCTGTAGAAGAGTTTAAATGTTTTGGTCCTACCGAAACAGTAAGTTGTTGTCCTATTCATCAGGCCCTAACGAAAATCTATGCAGCTGGTCTCCCTTGTTCTGCTGATCTGTAGAGAATATAGGCAAAGCTTTTGGAGTAGTCCCATTTGAGTGCTGAGCAGCCTGCTTTTAAATATCACCTCCTCCCGAAAGCAATGCAGAAGCAATTACTAAATTTTAGCTGACTAAATTATAGCCAAGATGGACAGTCCATGCGTTTCTACTTGAATTTCTGCTCTTTCTCAGTGTCCTTTTTTTTTTTTTTCCTTCCCTCTTTTACTGTTGCTCTGGAAAAAAAAAAAAATCTTTTGGAAAATTGACCTCCAGCCCCTCCTTTTTTTCCTCATTTGAGAACCACAAAATAGTCTTGATCCAACAGTCTTCAGGCAGAGGCATTTTCAACTGATGGCAGCTCATTTTTTTCTGTCACTCAGGTGGAAAAAGGGACATAATAAGGAAAAACTGAGAAGAGCTGCAGATAAAATCTGCTGTGCTCTTTAGTACTTGTTCAGGGCTCATAACTGCAAGTTTTCTTCTCTCACAGTCTTGCTCTCTAGAAAGAGCATTATACATATACAAGCAGCTCCTCAGCAGATTCCTAAGTGTGAGAATAGCAATTTTCTTTGATGAACTCCATGCCAATGTAGGAGTCTTCTGGGGTAACTTAAAGTAAAAACGTATAGGAGGAAAGGCTTTTTCCTTAAGCTTGATAACTGCATATACTAAACCCAGAGAAGTTTATCAGAATGCGGACTCAATAACTCAAAACATATCATGTCCCTTTATAATTTCATGGGTTTAATTATACATTTCAGTGGTATATTAATACTTTTAGTTTGCTGGTTTAGCAGCCATGTGTGCATCATATGTGTCATGGGCTTGGGTTTTTTTTAATACCTATTTGATTAAGTTCTGTGCAAGGGGATAGTGAGAAATAAGTAATCATTAAGCTATTTGGCCACTGACAAGACAGCTCATGTTCGCAGTCCAGGACACCACAAGTTTCAAATGATGAAGTGTCAATGGGGTTTTGGAAGCCAATCGATCAAATTTGATTTAACAGCCTCAGGAGTGTTTGTATGAAAAACGTTGGGGGGGGGAGGTGGAGTGAGGGAAAGGCCCTGATTTGAAATAAAACTGCAACCCCTTTGCATTTCTCTGTGTGATCAACAAGGCTATTTTTATGAGGATAGTTTTCAGTGTTCCTTCAGGATTGTATCAAGACTATTCCTGGGTTAGGAAAAAACCCTCTCTTGTATAAGGTTTTTTCCTATTTTTTTTCACTGGTAGACTTCCCCCAAATGTTGTCATTTAGGTGAGCAAGGCTAAGGTAATACGAGCTGACTTTACAGGACATGAAACATTTGAAAACAGTGTGGGGAATTGCTGCTTTGAAGCTGGACCTCTTCCTCACATCCCACACATTAGAAAATTTTGTAGACATCAAAAGTTTAAAAATTCACTTTTCTTTTACTACTCCACGTTTAAAGCACCAACAGACTGTGAAGCTGTCTTCTGGTTTTTAGTGCTTTCTAGACAGTCGTATCTTTTTTGACATGTTTGAAGGCTTTCAGTTTCCGTATATTTAATCACAGATTTCTTCTTCTTCTTTCTTCTTCATTTTTAGTAAATTACCACAATTCTTCACTGACAGCAGCCATTTATTTACTTGGTTTAAAATACTGCACTCTTGTGATGGGCCTGAATATCTGTAATGACTGACTTCCTAGGAATCTCCTGTTGCTAACAGTATGGGTATTCTGTAAGTAAGTTGATTTCCTTCATTTTTTTGTTTTTCCTTTCCTCCATTAGAAACTAATTTCTCCATTTTTGGACTGGGGTTTTGCTTTCCCAGTATTACAGCTTCAGTTCTCCTCTTCCATAGTGAAACATAGCAATGAATAGACCATGGTCTTCAAATTATGAAAGGTTTTGATACACATATGAATGGTAAGATACCAAGGGGACAAAAAGCAAGTAACTGTGTGCTTTAAGTATGTACATGTCATAGTTTAAGCCCAGCTGTAACTCAGAACCACGCAGCCGCTCTCTCACTCACCCCCTTCCTCCCCCAGCTCCCGGAGGGATGGGAGGAGAATGGAAAGAATGTAACTACCACGGGATGAGATAAGAACAGCCCAGTAACTAAGGTATAACACAGATCACTGCTGCTGCCACCAATAATAACAATGATAAGGGGAATAACAAGATAAGAGAATACAACTGCTCACCACCTGCTGACCGATACCCAGCCCAACCCTGGCAGTGATCTAGCCCTTCTGGGTAACTGCCCTCAGTTCATATAGTGGGCATGACGTGCTGTGGTATGGAATACCTCTTTGGTCAGTTTGGGTCAGGTGTCCTGTCTCTGCTTCCTCCCGGCTTCCCCTCCTCCCTGGCAGAGCATGAGGCCCACAAAGTCCTTGGTCAGGGTAAACATTACTGAGCAGCAACTGAAAACATTGGTGTTATCAGCGCTGTTCCCAGGCTGAAAGTCAAAATACAGCACTGCACCAGCTACTAAGAAGGAGAAAAATGACTGCTACTGCTGAACCCAGGACAGTATGTAATCTATTAAAGTGAGTGAAGGTATTCAAAGACTTAACAGTGACCACGGGCTTGTATGTTTTCCTGATTCAAGGTAATTTTTTCATAGACAGAAGTCAGAAGGAGTTTTACTTAAGTCACAATGCAACAACTCCAGATTTCTATGGAGATTATTCTATCTGGAGAATAAAATTTGACCAAAAATCAGCTTTTCATAGAAGATTTATGTAGCCATATTATCTTACTACATAAATATGATGCTAAGTACTTCAGTAAATAGTAGCACTAACGTAGAGTTTGAGCAGTTAAGGTAAGCCCCACCAGGGTGTAAAGGGGCTATTAACATCTTTTTGTTTCAAAATGAATAACTTTATAATAAAAAAAAAAACTTTGGCTTTCAAGATGTTGCTTTTTGTAATTAAAATTTGAAGAAATGTTTTTTCCTATTTCCGGCCCCTGTATTGTCAAATGAAGATTTCTGAGTGCCTTCAAAGAAGTACTAATTAAGAGTTTAATATTTACATCATTACACAATCAAAGAGGTAACTAAGTTGCATGTTTGTAACATTCTCTTAATTTTTTTACTGTTTTTGGCACTGTAATATGGCAGTAACAGTGAAAAGATATGCTTGGGAGATAAGTTGTTAATGTGAAACTAGCCTCTTGTGGCCAAGCCTTTGTGCTCTGCAAGCCAGCAGAAATGCACGAGGACTCAGCCAAGGGATACACAAATAATTAGTTATTTATTAAGCATACTGTTAGGGATATAATGACATGTACTGTGAAGATTGGGATACTTGGGGCAATCTTACAGGCATAGGCCATTTTGCTTTCGTAATCCTCTGAACATCTAACTGAAAACTTAGTCTGGGGCATAGTTTCCCCATTTGATTTAAAATGTGCATAGATAACCTTAACTAAATTTTGTGACACCAATTTAAGTACCTAACTCCAGTTTGAATGTTGCTCGCCTGTTGGTACAGACAAATATAACAAAGACCAAAAATTTTTCAGAAACGATCATGTTTGGTGTTAATATCTGAGTAAAATTATACTGCAGAATATCCGGGGGTTTCTGTTCCAACTAGAGAAAATGCACAATTCTTTGCCTTTGCTTTTCCAAAAAGCATCCTGAGTGTTAGCTTGGATCCTAGAATCACTTCGGTCAATAGAGCTCCTGTGGAAAGATACGTCCAGCAATCAGAAATGCGGGGGGGGAATCTGTCTTCTGTGTGTTACCTGAATGTGCTTGAGATGCTTGAGAGGCAACGTTTGAGGGACCAGATAGAGGTGAACACGGTGAGCAGAAATAACTGTATGGTGCTCCAAGAAGCTTCTCAGAGTAGCTCTCAGACGAAACTTGGAACAGCAAGAGGAAGACAGACTTGCCAGAACATAAAATTTTGGAGGCTTTTGAAAGACCAGATGTTTTTTCTTGTGTTTTCTTCTTGTGTTACTTCCCTTTCGTTGGGTGACAAATATGAAGTGACACACCTACTTAGTGGTAGAATGGTTTGAATTTTAGAGGACTGGAATGTTCTCGGTTGTTAAAATTGACACTTGTCATATGAAAAACTTTAACGGCAAGCAAATTTTACAATGGAAAGAATTTTTATTGCGAAACTTTATGTGCTGATATCTATAGGGAAATTTATAGCATTAGCAATTTCTTTTCCTTTGAAAATGCTACTCTTGCTCTCTTTCAAGTGTTCAAGTTAAAAGTGTTCTGATTTTATGTTTTATTTTCCATTTGAAATAAGAAATAACTTAGCCAAAATTGCCCATAAAGGAAAATCAATTTTTCAGACTCTGCTGTTACCTGAATTAGGGCCAGATCCAGCTTCTATTCTAGCCCTGAGGCACTGAATTTACATCTTGTTATATTATTGTAGGTATTTATGGGATGTAATTAGTTTTCTCATTAAAAAAAGAAATAAGAAAAAAAGAAATTCCAGGGACTTGTTCTGTGCTGCTTTGAAATGAAACTCAGCTCTCTGGAGAGTGGTTTATGTTGTCAGACACGATCAAAGAAGCCTGGTTTGCATTCACAGTATCAGCAAAGATAGCCCTGTGAAAAATTTGGGATGTGCGCACATTTGTGTGTCTTTCGCTTCTCTGTTTCATCTCAGTCAGATTGTCATTTTCTCCCTGTTTGGATCATTATATTTTCTACTGTTGTAAGTTTACAAAAATACAGGTATTTATTTTTCTTTTCCTTTTTTTCACCCCTTATTTCCTCTTTCCATAACTGGCACATCTTGCCTTTTCTTCTGTATTGTCTTATGAACATATTCTTCTATGACATTTGTCTTTCCACACTTCTTTTCCTACCTGCTATTTCCTTGTCCTCCCTTCGATGTTTTCAGAAGCTCTTCTGTCTGTCCTTCGTTCACCTTATCTTTTTTATTGTCTATGTTTTTTGTTCCCTGTCATTTCCCCCCATTTGTTATTCTCTCTATCTCCTCATAATTTCATCTGGCTCCCTCCCCATACCTGCATCCCTCTTTGTTTTCTCCAACATGTATCGTGTGACTCCTGACTCTTTCATGCCTCCCTCCTACCTGTACGTGGTACCTTCCTCACATGTACATCTTTCCGTAGATGTTATTGTTTGCATTAGGGCTGGGATGAGACATGAGTAGTTTTTCTCCTGTTTCGGAT